AATATTACCCCAAATATAACCCCAATATAACCCCAATATAACCCTAATATAACCCTAATACAACCCTAATATAACCCTAATATAACCCTAATCCCAATATATCCGAACTTAGGGGGTGGGGGCAGGGGATCGGTAGGTTTGATGTTGGCGGGGGGGCATCCTTGGCCTTGAGGGTCTCTGTCAGAGACAGAAACCTTGCCCGAAAGAGCCTGCTACATGCTTTGCACATGGAGGTTTCCCAAAACATGGGGGGCAGGGTTTCTATAGGGATGTATAGGGATATTATACCTTTAAAGGCGTTTAAAGGGTTATATAAGGATCATATGGGGTTTAGGGTTTCCCAAAATTAGGGGTTATTACCCCAATCATGCAGAATCAAATGGAAAAGCAAATGGAATGGAAACTTGGATTAGGAGTGGTTTATGCGGATTTAGGGTTTCCCCAAATTAGGGGTACCTTTCTGGGAGTCCCTATAGGAAGGATTATCATATTCTGGGATCTACATTGGGGTCCCCCTCTTTTGGGAAACTGCCACATCATCAAAGAGAGGACTGTGCTACGGAGGTGTCAAGCTGCGTTGGGTACAGAGGCGGAATGAATGCAATCGCCGTCATGTTGGCAGGAACAGCATATGAATTTGCAATGTAAAGGGAGGACCCTACCCTGCACTAGTGGAATAATAGGCATATAGTAGGACCCTAACATAATCCCTGTTATCCCTTATAGTCACTACTACAGGGTGGGTGGTCCACCTAGGGTAACCCGCAGGAGTAGCTGGCGCACGGATGCGCGCAGTCCTCTCCAAGTTCTTGCACCGAAGCCAGAGTCACAGGGTTGTAAGCCGTCAGATGCCCGTACTGTAGCCACCCTTGTGAGCTTACTAGTATTTGAGTGTTCTTTCTTGTCCTCCCCTCTCCCTCTTCAGAATTGTCAAATACCAACCTTGCGACTAAAACTGGCTGGTTCAGCCATGAATTTTGTCCGAGTTTAGGTAGCCTGTGGCGTACCCGATGTGTCCATCCTTGCGAAAAATGCCGAGTTGACGGCGTCGTTGGTCAGTGTTTTGCAGCATTCTGTGTGGGTCATCTCCTGAACTGGCCTTGAATGCAGAGTGAGCTTGGATTTGAGCCATGTAAGCAGCTGCAACACAGGCATCACTTACCCCATTAGCGTGACTGTTAGCAATTAGCAGCTGGAACGTATGTCCGTTTCGAGAGTCTCGCGTTGACTTTTTGGTACCGATATACCCGCTTCTGCGGCTAAGCTACAGCTCTTGGTGTTACTTCATGGGTTAGCTTGTAAGACGCCCTATGCAGAGGGAAGACGAGTAGTCTTGCTTTCAATGCTGTGTCCTGCACATCCCTGGGAAAATTCAGGGGACCGCTATAAAGGGTGGGGATCAGACAGATAAACCTACTGATTCTCAAATGCCTAAGATATCTAGCCTTTTGTTGAATAACATGGACTGAATCTTTCTACTTAGACATAGGCTAAGCGAAAAAGACAAATTCAACAAAAGCCCAGTTAAAGCTCAGGAGAGTTTGGTCTCGGCCATGTTGAGATTATAGACCCAGAGTCGGCGGCCAAGCGCGAAGTGTGAATTTTTGTTTGGGAAAGTAGAGGTTTCTCTTACATCAACGGACTTTACAGGTGTCATTGGAGCCCACCGCCTGGTATTCCACTACCATCAGGTGGTGTGGGCCACTGGCGCCCTTGTAGGAATGGATAGGCTTCGGCGAGCTGTTGCACTGCATGGTGGGGCCAGGGTATCTTGCGGGGTATCTTGCGAAGTCCTATCCTGAGTGATTGTGCAGAAGAGATTTATGAACAGCTTCCCTTGGGTTCAGTGTTGCTCAGGTATGTCAAGGGCGACGCGCTGAAAAAGGCTGTGACTGGCCTTGGCAGCGTGGACGTGATCTGGGCCGAGATGGGCAACACGCAGCTTAGACTCTCCTGGCAAAGGTCTTCTTGCACACGGTCAGGTGGTTCGGATGCCCAAGAGCTTACTTTGTTATCATCATTGTTATGTTTACGATTACTATTCCCATATTCGTAATATTGCTCTTATGATTATTCTTACTATTATTACTATTATTAGTACTCAAGTAGGCCTGGCCTGGACCTGATCACGAAGCAAGACTGTGCATGGTATTTTGTTTATCGTGTCCGGAACCGATTCTTACTAGGGGTTAGTAGGGAATCAGAAGACCGTATTCCCTACTAACCATTCGTAAGATAAAGGGCTAGAGACACCTAAACCTCCAAAGCTCCCGTGCATGCGGAGATGTGTGATGTCATTTGTGAATTTCTGGTGTCTTTGCTGATGCTGGCAAGAGCGGTGCCCGTGTGGGCTCACTGCACAGGTGTGACACGACTTTTGCTGCTTCAGTGTTGCATAGTCAGTTGAGCGAGCTGATGTTCATTCATTAGCTGTATCTCTGATGCAAAAAAAGCTGTATCTCTGTTCAATCGCTGTCGCAAGGTAGGGTATTCCCCTGGGTGCATGGTTTGATGGTCGGCGTTTGCCAGCTCCAGTGAATGGACCGTGCTAGAACGTGCTAGTGCCCCCGGACCATCAGGACACTGTTCCTTCCTGGGCCGGTGTTGTGTAGTGGACTCCAAGTATTGAAGCTTGCGATGCTGTATTGGCCATGCAAGCGGCAAACCCTAAACCCCCCTGCACCCCGGCCTGATTTTGGCTGGCAACCTCCCAGGTATGCTCTCCGGCACCACCTGAGAGATTCAGGCAGGCAGGCTTGCTAACCTTGACAAAGGGGAGTTGGCTGGCTTTGAATTTGTCCGTATCATTCTCTCGGACAAGATGAGCTGGGTGGAAAAGCCACGAAAATAATTGTAAAGTTCCCTCGCGCATGCTCCATCTCCATCCAAGAAGGTCAAGACTCCCCTGTCCGATGAGCATTTGGCCGTTACTGCTTTGCAGGTGGCGACCAGTTAGTCTTCGATGCTTTGGATGCTGGTGCCCTTTATGCTGCGTGACTGCACGAGATATCTTCCCAGCACAGGCGACCTTGGTTCCATGACAGGTCTGGATCTTTTTTGGCAGTCTTGAATTGCAGGTTGGCAGCAGCGCCGGAAGCATTGTGGCCGGCCGCACTGTGCAAATGGCCTTCTGGAAAGATTGGGATGACAAGACCGCCGAAGCTAGCTGCAAGGGCTCATCGTCCGTGATAGGTTAAGCTGATCACACAATTATGACAAGTGCGGTGTATTGATGAGCATGCCAGTGCTGTCTCAGCCTTTGCGTGCCTTTTGCTGTTTGGCTGGTGCAAGAACTGAGGAAGGTACCATCAATGTTGACTGGAAGGATATGGTTGCAGTCGCATCTTTCAGCATCTGCAAAAGTACTATGTGGGGGAGAGGTTGTACTTCTAGCCAATGGGGCTCCTGTTGCTGAGCGATGATGGTACGGCTGGTGTTCCTGCTGCTGCTACCATACATGGTTGCACAACCAGTGACCGCCTGCAGCTGTTTCAGTTGTATAGGGTTCAAGGACGTCATCACCACTCCTTGCATCGCGCGTGCAGCCATGACTACTAGTGGTGTATGGTCTCCGAGTAGTGCAGGCCGCTCCCTTCTCCGGGTGGTAGCTGAGTTGGCAGAGCTCAGCATAAACACGTTGGCACCAAGTACCCCGTCGAGGTGTCAACCATGTTATGCACACTGATTTCCACAGTGGGCCCTGTTTAGCGCAGAACTTGGCCGCGAAGTCTTCAAGCTTTTGAGTCGGCGGGATTAAAAGCCTCGACTGAATCACAGCAAGTTGTCGTGCGAAGTCCTGAATGCTAGCCCTTTCCATCCCAGAGAACTGGAGGCAGAAGCCGCACACACCTGATCTTAGTTTTCAAGCTGGAAGAGCCGTCACATGCCCTCAGGATTACTGCAAACGACCAACTATGCCCAAACAACCCTGCAAGCCGCCCAAAGATGGTTCGTGGCTGCGCACTTTCCCATGGCATCGTTATGCATGACGAACCATGACCCTGCAAGGCTTCGAGATGAAAAGGAAGACCTCGTCCCTTGAAGCAGCACGTGGCACATGCTTTTGGGACTAGTGACGGAGGTACTAGTAATTCTTATTTAGTTGGTAGGGCCGGGGTTGCTGGTCGATAGGTAAATCCATGACGGGGCTAGCAGATCTTGGGGACGGTTGACTCTGGGAAATGTGCAGTAGCTTCATTTTTGTGGCTGCTTGGAGCGTGAGTCCAGTGTTCTGCTCAGTGGGAAGTCTCAAATGGGTCCGGCTCTGCCATTGGCACAGCTTCATGGACTCAGAGATGGGGAACTTTCGGCTACTGGTTACATTTGGCCTGTCACATCGCATGGAAGCTTGGGGCGCTGAGGTTTTCCATTCTGGACAACTCTGTGCGAAGGCAGGACTGTATAACATCCTGGGTACAAACATACCGCTGCTGCGAATGCAATGGCGGCCCCTGTTTCTAGATTCTATTCTAAGCGATGCTATTTCGGTTTGATTCCTAAACCCTAAGTTTATAGTAGCTTCCATCTTAATTATTTTCCATTAAAGTACTTATTATCCCAATATTACCTATATTAGCATATCGAGGCCTCCTGGGTTGACAGCCTTTGGTCTAAAACGCTGATGAGCGGGCTTGCTGTTTCAGGCTACGAAAATTCTTAACAATGAGCCAGGGGTTCTAGTGGGGTTATATGGGGATAATGGACAATAAAATGGAAGCTACTACTTAGGGTCAACAATGAGCCATTTACCTTCCTGGTGGATGCAGATTGGGAAATTTCGGCAAGTGTTTCACTGGTTCACGACATGTACACTATCAGCTTGATGTTACTGTCGTGGATCCTGCGCAGACGTCGTGTCTGAATCTGTGACGTTGCGGTCGCAGGCCGCATCGAATCATGATCAGGTTCTCTTGGCTGCCAGCGCTCGGCTGCTGCCGAAGTGGTTTGCAGTTGGTGGTCATCCAGTCTGAGAGCAATCCTGAGCTGGTATCTTTCGGCAGGCCAATGCCTTCCACAGCAGCCGGCGGTGAGGTGCTACACCTATCAATTGTGTTGCAAGTTACAGGTTCTGGGTTTGGATTTTGCAACAGCAGTGCCTTCTCTTCCTTTCTGCTACGGAGGAGAAGATGGCAAAGCTCTGGAAGCTGATGGAACACTATGCCCGGGTCCAAGCTCCTAAGGTTCGAGGATTTATCTCGGATGCGGTGTATTCATGAGACCTGAAAGCCGCTGAGTGAGCTGTATAATGACCGTGCGGGCAGGCAAGGATGTGGGACCATACCAGGGATCCTTGAGGGCCGAGGAAGCATAAAGGTGTGGCATACGTCCCTGTAGCCAGCATCCCATCGTTGGTACACCCGAATTTCTGGTGGTTTCTCGGATGCCCTGGAACTGCAACGCTAATCTTCAGGCGAGACAAAGGGTTTTTGTGGTACCGAGAAGGTCTTGTGTGGATAGTCTCCATACACCAGCCACTGTCGCTGAGACAGTGCTTCTGCCAAGGAGCCCAATGACCAAGAGTCAATCCAGAAGTCCTTTGCCCGACACCTGGAATATTCGCTGGCCTGCACACGCTTCAACTTCACCATGCAGGACACGATGCGCAACAATGCGGTAAGGATGCAGATAAGAGAAGTAAAACTTGTAGTAATAGTAGCAATAGTAACACTAAAAATAATAGTCACAATGATACTAATAGTAATAAAAGTAGTAATACAAATAAGTATCTTCTAACAGGACGTTCTAACAGGGCGTTCACTCCTGGGGATGACCGAGGATGTCTTCAGTGGGGGGCAGTTTCAGTCTGGACAGAAAGGAATAGAGAAGGAGGTGTGGGCTATTGTGGGCTAATGCTTTCAAAGGGTTCCCATAGGATTCCTATAGGCCTATAAGACTTTTTGACCAAATTTTCTCGGCTTTGTAAGCGCGGACCCAGCCTTGCTCAAACCTGCTACCCCTTAAGACTTTCAAACGCCCCTCTCCCCAAAGCAAAAAACGGGACCCTGCACAAACTCTGACATAGCTGGCGGCAAGGATGCTTACCGTGCCGCAGGGTTTGCCTTGCGAGATCGCCTGCTCGAGTCCCTGAATGACACAGAGGCTCCTATGCTCTAGATTAATCCCTTGGGTATGTAGGGACATCTGTGAGTATACAGGGCTTGGAGGTTTGGCGGTAAGGATGGAGAATCAGATGGACAACTAAATGGATATCGGGATTGCCCGGTAGAGGAAACCCCAAGTTAAAACCAGGCCATTGGCACCCCCTACAGTTACCGTTGCAGATAGTGCTCGTGTTGCGTAATATGCCTATCTATGTACTCCACAGTTTGCATTCAGGTCTAGCACGAGAGTTCACGAGAAACCCTTCTCAGCAAGAGTGGAGAACCGAATGGACAATCACATGGAGACTGGGAGAATGCAGATGCCATTTGGGGGATTACTTTCCCAGAAATTGAAAACCCCTACCCTACTAAAAATGAACATGCCCCCCGCATATTTTGTTCTTGGGGAATTTTGTTGAGCATATACGGGGTGTGTTTGGCACATTTTTGGGGGTTAGGTACGTCTTTGGCTTCATTGGATGGAGTCTACCTCAAAAAAGTGGTTGTTACCACTGGAGTTCTGATTGCTCTAGTTCAGCGTATGCCTACTGTCAATCCAATTTACTCCGCTTGTAAATTTGAAGTAGGGGTTCGCCTTCTGGGATGTTTAGATTTTGAATCTTCAGGGCTTCAGGAGTAAGAAAAAAAAAAGGAAGGAACGTATGTGGCAGATTGGAAGACAAGTTCTTATATGAACAAGGGAAGAGTGCGGAACACGCCCTAAGGCTCACTACCGGGAGAAGGACGTCAAAAGGCGCTGTCCATTGAGCTGTATGTTGACTTCTTTGCCTAGGCGTTGGTTGAGCAGCAAAGAGTTTGTCAGGGGATACTACTTGTCTGCCGAATACCTGATCGGGCGGCACATGCAGAACGCCATCGCCAATTTGGACCTTGAGCGGCCTTTCCAGGACCGCCCATGTAGCTCTGATCATTTCAGCAATAATCTAAATTCCTTCAAGGGGATTATATAAGGGGCGATTAGAGGGGTTATTATGGGGGCTACTTGGAGTTTAGACTATGGATCATTAGTTGAAGGGCATCCCCAGCACTTCTCTTCAAAGCCACACCTCACGTCATGTCTGTTTGAAGCAGCTTTGGTGATGGCAACGCTTCTTGCTGTGCTTGGTATACTTAGCATCACCACAGGCAGCGCCCCAAGAATCCCCTCCTCGCCCACCGCCTTATTCCTCCTTGTTCACCAAGACCATGATCATGTGATTCGCGCGTCGGCACACCACATGCGCGAGAACCCTGGCTTCCATGACCGCATCAGCCAGGGCTGTATAAACAAAGCCGTGGATCATTTAGACAAATCCGACTCTGCACCTTTCAAGGTTCCAGGGTTGTACCCCTAAGGCCGTACCTCTAGAAGGTTTCCCCAATATGGCCTCAATATAGCCCTTATAGTCCCTCAGGGTGCCTTAACAGGATCCCAAAACCCCAGGGGTACAACCCTAGGAGTACAAGTCTGAAATCCCCGAACTTTTTTTTGCATTCGCACGTCTTTGTAGGACGCATTCATGGATCTGGGCATCAAGCTTGAGGACAGGATGCTGGAAGTAGGGGTTTAAGGGTTTAATGGTTTAGGGTTTAGGGGTTTAGGTTTTAGGGTTTTAGGGTTCAGGGTTTAGGGTGTTTTGAGAAAACCTACTGGTCGTGAGTCATCATGCCTGGTAGAGCGCCATCATGCCTCTAGTTTTGCTTCGTGGGTTCAAACCCAGAGCTGCAAAATCCCACTCCCCCCAATAATCTAAATGCTCCCAATAATTATCTGGCATATTTCAGTATATTGAGAGTGTTTAATCTTAGGGGGGGTGGGTTGGGGGAGTTTTAATATTATGGGGAGGGAAATTATTGAAGAAGCCAGGATGGGATCCTTTAAGGCCAACTTCAGGAAAGCATGCGCCACGTCACAGCTTCGGTGACATTTAATGTGACAGAACTCCTTAGAGGGGATTATATAAGGGGAGATTAGAGGGGTTATTATGGGATCTACTTGGAGTTTAGACTATACCCTTTCTTGTATTTAATTTCTGTTAGCAGATTAGTGTCATTCCTTTGTCTTTTACTTCCTCTCATGAGCTGCGAGGACCACCGCCAGCGCAAAAGCATTCGCACGCCCTTGTAGGGTTATGATGAAGTGAAAGAGTGAGAGTTTCGGAAAATCATCCTTACATAGTCCCCACGCATTCCTTCGGTCCCACCACCAAACTCTCCCTTCATTCAAAAACTCCCTAAGGCCGGTTTGCACGCACAGCAGGAGCTCTTCTCCCAGGAGGCAGACCCGGCCCTGGGCAACGGCGGCCTCGGAAGACTTGCTGCGATGCTCTGCAGCACACCGCCACAAGTGGTTTAATGTGGGTTCATGATGGTTAATGGCTTTCAGGATCTTAGGACGTAGCTTTTTTTGTTTTTGTTTCGCGGGGTTCTTGATTTAGGTAACACGGGCACTTCCCAAGCCTCCCCCTGGAAAGCGATTTATCAATAAAACATGCAATACAGTTGCAGCTCAAAGGCTTTGCTAAGAGGTAGCTGCGACACACCAATGACTCCTTAAAGAACATTAGTATCCAGGTGTTACAGTGAACTCGTGCAGACAACTTAATGTAGACCTCCTGTGTACCCCTTGCAGAATTACATCTTGTCACCCCGCGCTAGAGGATTATTTCCTAGTGCGCCGCAAAGTGCAAAACATAGGGTTTCGTTTGGAAAAACGATAAGAGGAAAATAAAACGATAACAATCTTTCGGGTCAAGCAAATAGGAACGTTTTATACAACCCCCGCTCTTCATTCAAGCCTTTGCCTGAGCCCCAGGTGTTTTTTGGACTCCATGGCCACCTTGCCGCCTGGATGTTTAAGTTCACTCGTTGAGAAGTCGCTAGAATCATGATTATAGTCTACTAGTCCTGAAACTGTTATGAAGGTTGGGATCGCGTTAGTTGTTGTCATTGCAGTGTTTGTCCGGCTTCTTCCGCGACTTTTGCTCCCAGCTGCTTCCCCAAGGTCGCTCCCATGCTGGGGCTACGGCATCCGCTACAGCTACGGCATGTTCAAGCAACACATAGAGAACCCGGGCATGGGGGGAACTCATGAATCAGATACCCTGGGCTATGAATCCTTCTCCCCCTCCTTGTTATTTATATAATTACTTCTTATAATAGTATGACCCTCGGGAATCATTAAAGATACTATTTTCATTATAGGCCTACGGGGACTACAGCTACTATGGCAGTGTATCGCAGAAGATCTGGGAAGCGAAGTCCGCTTTGCCC